TGATACATAAACACTACACAAGAAAAATCTTCACATATACACAGCTCACACAAACATGTGCAAACCTCTCTATGTACAGACCCATCTTAGTGCCAAAATAGTACAAATAAATCTCCTTGTCATTATCAGATATTTTCATTGCAGGAACAAATGTACATGAAGAATTCACAATGCTGTGTTAAAAAACTTCACTGTTCAAAAACGGTCTTCAATTCCCAATCGTAGAAACATGACAAGGAAAGAGGAAGCAGTACAAGGTAACAACAAAACAGTCAGTTTGAAAAAAATGTCAAGAATACCAATGTTCCACTTAAAACAATGAGATATAAAACAGCAATGCTCTTACACTTTAAACCAGTCCATCGATTAAACGGTAGCAAGAAGGGACATTTTTTTTGTGTTTGTTTTCTGTCTTATCTCAACCACTAGGCTTCCAATCACCACAGCCTTGATCACATCATCTTCACGGTCACTGGGCTTTATAGAATGTAAACAACACAAGGTACTATTACTTAAAAGCAATTACACAAATACAGTCCCCAGACCCCTGCAAATTAAGAGATCTAATGTTCAATTTTCCATTGTTTTGCCTTACATGTTTCAGCTTACCTCGCATATCTTCATGAATTTTGAAGGAGTCTCTCCCATGTACCACGGCAGGCAATGCTGCTGTCCTCATCCTTTGGTTTGTTGTCTGTAAAATATAGGATTGTTAAAGTACCAGCTTTATTCATTCAATCCTTTGGTTTTCTTTATTCGTTTATCCTTTCTCCCCCTCCCTCTGTCTTAAAAAATAAAAACACAAAAACATTGGCTTCAAATTTGCACATTTACACTTGTATACTTTTGTTGTAAATAAATCACCAGTGATGTGGTGCAACAACAGTTGTTTGTTACCTTTTTGTTCGGCACCAAAATAAGATTTAATAGTGGATGCGCTCATGCCACTTAAATTAGGGGTGTCTAATCCTGCTCCTGGAGGGCCAATAATGTATTACAAGTTTAACTCCAACCTGGTTCAACACACCTGTCTGGAAGTTTGTAGTGATCCTGAATACCTTGATTAGCTGGTTTAGGTGTATTTAATTGGGGTTGAAGCTAAACTCTGCAGGATCTTGCCTCCCCAGGAGCAGGATTGGGCACCCCTGCCTTAAATTCATTGGGTTGTAACAACACTTTAAAGGATTTAAAAGGATAGGTCACCAAAGATGATAATTGTCATTTACATTTACGACATAATACAACAACAAAATCAAACCTTATTAGTTCTTGTGTCATGACATTTGATCAAAAGACTTGCAAGAACCAATGAGGTTTGATATTTATGAAGAAGCTAATACAATCAACCATTTTTGTAAACCAAGACTGACATTTTTATGCTTTCATCATATAAAGAAATTGTATGATTTCAGAAGACTTGGAATATGACATACAAATCGTATAGGTTACTTTTTAGACACTTACTCGGAACACACTGATATGGTCACAAGTTAAATGCTTCTTCAGAGATAGTTCACTCTTAAATGTGCATACACAATCTTTATAGATGCATGGGAGTGGACAGTGACTTGCCTGATGGCAGTGTTTCAGCTTGTAGTGTGCGAACCTCATCGATACGGAGTTGTGCTTCCACTCTGCTTGCACTGTACTGATCCTGCAAATAAAAAACAAAAAAGTCAAACTCCAGCCAAGCACACATACACGTTACATACAGAAATATTCACTGCAAATCTTACTTAAAACTAACGATAATGAGATCAGATTAAGAAAACTCTAAAAAGTCACTTATATGTAGACTGTTTATCTATTTATCAACATTAACTTGATCCACACTTTTAGTAGTGATGGGAAGTCCGGTTCTTTTCCGCGAACCGGTTCTTTCGGACAGTTCGGTTCAATGAACCGGTTAAAAAAACCGGTTCATCGGTTCTTTTACGCCCTAATGTAATGACGTCATTCGCGATGACGTAATGATATCAAGTCTATCGTCCCAGGCCTGGATGAAAATACACATTCAAATATATAAAGTCAGTAATCATAACTTCAGTCAGTTAAAACATCGGACAGCTTTTCCGCGAACCGGTTCTTTCGGACAGTTCGTTTCAATGAACCGGTTAAAAAAAAACGGTTCACCAGTTCTTTTAAAAGTGAAAGTCACGTGACATGTGGCCAAGTATGGTGACCCATACTCGGAATTAGTGCTCTGCATTTATCCCATCCAAAGTGCACACACACAGCAGTGAACACACACACACACACACACCGTGCACACACACCCAGAGCAGTGGGCCAAGTACACTGTTTACTCCTCACCTAATGACGTCATTTCTATCGTCCTAGCTAATGAAAATACGCTCAAACACAAAAAAATAAAATAAAAAAATACGCTCAAACACATTCAAATAAAGTAATTTGTAATCATAACTTAAGTTAAATAATAATAATCATCACCATCATCGTCGTCTTGGAAAAGTTTCTTACGTTAGCGTTTTGCAAAAGCACCATATAAGGCTCTGATGTGCAGACAGATGTTTTACAAGTCTTATAGACATAAGTTGAGCTAGTCTTCATTAGCTTTTTACAGAAACGAGGATTCAGCTCATAAAGCTTAAACTATAACGTGCATACAATAGTAAATAGCAAATTTCATTTACGTTTTCACTGAACAGTTGTTGCATGTTCATCATGTTAAAAATGCTGTTTGATATAATAGCATTCGCATTTTCCAGTAACTTTAGGCATACGTTTTATTTTTTTTATTAACTTACATTTCGCCAAATTCACAGTGTACTGGAGATCCGAGAACCGCGGCTGTAACAGTTCGGTAGAACACTCAAGCTGTTTGTATTCATCAGTTCTCTCAACACAGCATGTCTCAATTCAGTGAACGTTTGGAGTTAATGGCGTAACATATACTCCGAAATAATTGGTTTATTTCAAGTCTGAACGTCTGAAAGTGAATAAACACGAATTTGCCTGGCAGTGCGTGTGGCTTAGTTCGCAAAATGTGATTGCCTGAAATCAAAACGCGGACGGTGAGCGCCAACGAAACAAGCCTAAATGAACATTATAGAAATCACAAATCAGGGTACTTACCCATTCCATTATCTGCAGTCCATAAAGTCCACCTGTAATCGTTTAAACGCGGGCTCCTTCATCTTTTCTCATTCAGAAAATGGCGGATGGCGTGTCTCAAGTTCGTTAAAATAGTACGTCATCATGACGTAGAGTTTCTGGCACTTTATTTAAAGTTTTCCATTTCCCTTCAAGTTGAGGTTGTTATAACTCATCCAATTGTGTAGTGAGACACTGAAAGTTGACAGGACATGATTTTACTTGTCCACCTGACTAAAACTCAGAATCATTTTTTACAGTGTAGGTACTGTGCAGGTAAACCTACCCCCCTAACCCTCACTCCCATCCGGGTTACAGCACCAATGTAACCCCCCGGGTCCTACTACACACACCCGCTCCGAGCGGGACTCGAAACCTGGTCTCCGGCATGGGAGGCAGGTGCACTAACAAGGTGGCTAAAGACCTCAGCCCCTAGCGTCAGTCGCTAGTGCACCTCTTGAGATCAGGGGAGTGAGGTCTACCTGCACAGCACCTACCAGCCGGCCTCCGTTACAAGAGCATACACAGCAAGATCTTTGAGTAAAGGAAATGTGCCATTTTCAGTTTTTATACAGCCATACGCGATTGTGTTTGGACCTCTCATTTGTCTGAAGTGTGCGTACACCTCTTCAGGCTGCATTTGTGATGGCATTTATTTAATTTATTATTACTCAGAAATAGTTTAGTAGTTGAGTCACTTGTTCCATTTCTAATGATATGTATTGTATGTCAAAGTGGCTGAACAAAGTGCTTTGTCATCAGGAGTATGTGGTTCTTGCATATACATGGATTTATTTTATTGTAAACGTTTTAGTGTAAAATTATTTATGAATCATAAATTCTGAATGAGAATTTTCATACATAATTTTTTACATAAATATATGTGCAAATGCACTGAATGAGATCCACTGTCCTCTCATATTTTGTTATTTTGTGTTTCACTGTATTGTTATAATTTGTGAAGTTACATATTTGAGTTTTATAGAAAAAGGCAAATGTCTTAAATTTTACTCTGCATTTATTGAAATGGAATGAAACATGAAACAAACTACTATACAATCAGAAAATTTCAACATACCATATGATTATGTCAGAGAAGAGGGGAGGAGGAATATATAAATAAAATACAGTGTATGATATGAGCCCATTCACCATTCATGAATTACTATTGGTTTATTTTATTCTCCAGCAGGTGAGGTATGGTTGGAGACTGAGATGGGTCTTGAAGTTAAGATTGTTCTGGAGCATTTGGTGGAACTTAATCGTGGAAGATAGGGTGGGGTTTGTGGGGAGGTTTGTGGGGAGGTTTGTGAGGAGGTTTGTGGGGGGGCTTGTGAAGAGGCTCGTGGGGGGGCTTGTGGGGAGGCTTGTGGGGAGGCTTATGGGGTCGGGTCTTGTAGAGGTGGTGGGAGGGCTTGAGGTGGAGGTTGTGCTGGGTCTTGTGGTGGAGGTGGTGGGGGGGCTTGAGGTGGAGGTTGTGCTGGGTCTTGTGGTAGAGGTGGTGGGAGGGCTTGAGGTGGAGGTTGTGCTGGGTCTTGTGGTGGAGGTGGTGGGGGTGCTTGAGGTGGAGATTGTGCTGGATCTTGTGGTTGAGGAGAAGGTGGAGCTTGATTTTAAAGAGTTTGCAATGGGACTTGAGGTCGCGGTTTTAGTGGAGGTTGTGGTGGGGCTTGAGGTTGATGTTTCTGTGGAGGTTGTAGTAGGGATTGTGTTGGAAGTTGAGGTTGTAGTAGAGGTTTTGGCGGAGGTTGTGGTGTAGGTTGGACTTATTGTGGTGGGTCTTGAGGTTGGCTTTGTTGTGGAGGCTGTGGTGAAGATAGGAACTGGCCTGACTGTAGGTCTTGGATGCGGCCTAAAAGGTGGAAAGAGGGGCCGTTGGGCCTCACACGTACTGAACACCAGCAGAACCAGAGCCAACACCGACATCTTCACTGGAAGAACGCTCTCCATCTCTGATATCTGGAGATTAAACACAGGAAGTTAAACACACATTATTTGGTTAACCGTTTTACATTTGAGATGCATATTTGACATTTTGATGCATAATTCCTTTGTGTATGTCTTGAAATAAATCCAAGAACAAATCACTATTTTAATGAGTTCAGGCTGACAAATCAATATATGATCAATTAGGAAATAAAAGGTAACATTATTTCAGGTATATGATCTTGCAAACATTAAAAAATGTCCATTAGAACCGAATGCATAAATCATAAAATAACAACAAAACACAATTAAGCTGAATACAAAAACATTTGATTTAGCAATAATATAATTGATAGTATATATAAATCTCTCACCAGATGTTCTGTTGTTGGAGATACAGATGAATGAGAGTCTTCAAATGTTCCTCAGACTTCACTGTCTTCTGTATGTGATCCATCAGACTTATATATGTTTGAGTCGCCTCCACCTGCAGCTGCACCTTTGCTTTTGATTCATCCTACCATTATTGATATTTTGTCAATGTTTTTTTTTTTAAAACATGTGTCAACTGGAAGAAGATGGGCTCTCCCTGCTGAGTTTTGGTTCCTCCCAAGGTTTCTTTCTCATCCTCCCTAACCCTTGGGGAGTTATAAAGCACTATTTTCTGTTTGTAGTTGGCTTATAGCTAAATGAATTGAATCTTGTATTGAATTTAATTGAATTTAGGGCTTGATAGCCTAAAAAAATGTAGCAGATTCACTGCAAAACCAAAAAGGCTGCAGTTACTGTGCAATAACTGCAGTTGTTTTCATGGTGAGATAACGTCTCGGTTACTTGTGTAACCCTCGTTCCCTGAGGGAGGGAACGGAAACGTTACGTCAGTCGTGACTGACGAATTGGGATCTCGCCCGAGAGCCCAATCACCTTCGAGTGTTAGACAGCCTTACCCTTCTGCTGTCCTCCGAAGTAGACAAAGAGCTGGTCTGAGGTCCTGAAGCTCCGCGTACGGTCCACATAAATGCGCAGAGCGCCAACGGGACAGAGCATAGCGATGGCTGGGTCTGCCTCCTCCCGGGGCAGCGCTTCCTGACGGAGGCAGCGCAGCCGAATCGTCATCTCCAGAGCCTAGCTCGCCCTCTGATGCAGCGATCGACATCCTGTCATCTGCCTGAGCTCTGCACAAGATGCTGGACCCCGCCCTGTCCGAGGACCCAGCACACTCGTCCGAAAACCCCAGGTGGTGCGCCATGCTTGAGGAATGAGAGGCCCGCGGAGACGTACTCGACGGGGAAGCTCTCACCGTGATCCTCAGGTCTCCCTAACCATGAACCGAAGTAGCCCTCCGGGAACCGGAGGAGCTAGAGCTGGGCATGGCAAGGGGGATACCCCCCCGTTTAATGAGGAGGTATCTGGACCGCAACATCGCGATGGTCATGTTCCCGCACTGAGAACATGACTCATCCACGAGCGCTGCTTCAGCGTGCTGAAAGCCCAAGCACGAGACACAGCGATCGTGACCGTCAGATGAAGCCAGGAAACGACCACATCCAGAAACGCACGAGCGGGAAGCCATCTTTAAAAAGACGCCCGTCGCTCGTGGAGCTCTTTTAGAATTTGCTCTTTTAGAAAGGAAAAACACTCTTTTAGAGAGAGCGCTGAAGCGCCCAGGGGAGGTCGCGGCGGGACCGCAGAATGGAAGCTGCAGCTCGCCGAGGTTTCAGCAGCCTGGATGGCAACCCCCGCTGACACGCCGTAACACCAACGCCAGCTGTTTTTCAAAACACTCGCGGAGATTTGTCTTGCTAGAAGGCTCGGCTCCGAAGCGAAAAGCTGATGTGCGTTTGCACGCGCTCTCCTTTTATACCCGCGCTGCGGGGCGGGGTGCGTGTGGCGAAACACGCACGCCAACTGTCATTGGCTTGTTTAGTTAACACTCGAAGGTGATTGGGCTCTCGGGCGAGATCCCAATTCGTCAGTCACGACTGACGTAACGTCGAACGTGACTGACTGAAAGGGAACTGTGTTAGTTATGCTATGTTGCTGTTGGAGTTTGTGTTTGTGAAACATATAATGTTTCTCATTAAATGAAATTCTGTATCTTACTATTTATTCATGAGGTCAAAGTTTGGCTGGTTAGCAACTATTCAGGTCATCTTTTTCTTGCTGCTCCAGATCGCTAAATCCTGACTGTTTTTTCTTTGGGAGGATCAGTTTTCAGGGTGGACCCAACTTCTCTGTCAAGCCAGTTTAAAACAATGCAATGCAGTGCTTTTTTGATTACCTGATTATGAAAGTTATATAATTCACAATCAAAACCATCCCTGACACACCGTTTTATATTCAGGACCAGAACGGGTTTTGCAACCGTAAGACGTCATGTTGCCTTGGAACAATTATTCAGCTAATCCAGACAATAATAATAAAAAAAAATAATGATAATAAGACAAAACAATGAATACGGGGTGTTACCATCAAAACAAAACAAAATACGTTACAAAAGAATGATTTTTCTGTGTGAACACAACCAAAAGTAAGTGATAAAGCCATATTAATTTGGATCATTTGCATTTATAATTTAGTAAGAAGTTAAAAGGTGAAAATTATTATTAAATATTACATTATTTTTGTTAATAATAATAATTATTTATTTTAATCATTAAATATTACTAAATAGACTTTTAGGCATGTGAACCGAATATTCTGGACCACACTTTTTTTTACAATTAAGACACTAAAATGCAGTTTTGGCTGTATGTTGTGCAGTTTTAAAAATGGATGAGCTATATTTGTGTAGCATACTGAAAACCACTGCTCTTCAACACTTCACAAGAAACTGGAAACCCTTTGACTACTTGAAAACCGGTTTGATTTTTAAAAATAATTTTTTGATTTATCTGGTTGAGATCTTTCTTGTTGTAGTCTAGAGGTGTCACATAACCTGTACATGCTGATACCTCCTGAGACAAAGACGCCTCTTTTGATGTATTCTCGTGTGACTATCTGAAAAATCCTTATTGGAACCAAACTGCAACATTTCATACTGAACCTAAAGTGACATAAAATCACCTACATACTGCAACCTCATTCAACAACCTCAAACTATTTTATTTCACTCAAGCCATCAACACAAAGATAAGCCCCTCAGAGGAACAAGTGAGGCGATATTTGAGTGGCCAGTCGTTCCCATTTTCCAGGGACAGTGTCTGTATTTGGTGGCCTGTAGCCGTCTAAAAATGTTACCTGAAATGTCCCATTTCTTTTTGAGTATACGTTTAAAACAGACGGCAAAGTGAAGAACACCCATTTGACAAGTAAAGCAGAGGCAGAGCTCACAGGTTCACTGGACCAGCAGAGGGCGCTGAGCTGATTGTCGTGTTATAGTTCGTCTTCCTCTACTGAAACTGGCCCGTAATGAACATCCTCAGCGGTGTTGTCTTGTCGTCCTTGTCAGCTTCAAATTAAGCCACATAATTACACCTATAAATAACACAATATAAGCCACTTTTAGCACAAAACATACCCCATATTCTATTTAATTTAGTTGCGTTCCGTCTGTTTTGAACCCAAACTGCCTCCAGAGTCTTGCATTTCCAGACTTTTGCCCCTATTTAGTTTTCTGTAATAGAATAAGAATTTAATGAAAATAAATTTATCATACAAAAAGTGTGTTTTCATTGCAGCTGTTTAGGGATTTTTCAGTGATTGTCAAACATGACTGAATGAATTCAAGGTGCACTTTTTCATTATGCAAAAATGCAGGTTAAATGCATTTTGGGTTTCTTCACACAATATGTGACCCTGGACCACAAAACCAGTCATAAGGGTAAATTTTTCGAAATTGAGATTTATGCATCATCTGAACTATTTGAAAATCTGGAATCTGAGGGTGCAAAAAAATCCAAATATTGAGAAAATCGCCTTTAAAGTTGTCCAAATGAAGTCCTTAGCAATGCATATTACTAATCAAAAATTAAGTTTTAATATATTTACGGTAGGAAATTTACAAAATATCTTCATGGAACATGATCTTTACTTAATATCCTAATGATTTTTGGCATTTAAAAAATCTATAATTTTGACACATACAATGTTTTTTTGGCTATTGCTACAAATATACCCCAGCGACTTAAAACTGGTTTTGTGCTCCAGGGTCACATATTCTTAGCACCGTATTAAATAGCTTATTCTAAAAGGACCTTTGCAAAAATAAAAAATAAACAAACTTTCGTGTGTGCACGAGAAACCTTTAAACTTAGCACAATGCACACTGAGCCACCTATTGCTCCATCAGCCCATTTTGCGGTGTGGTTTCTTGGCCGCCATAGACTAGAGTATGCGTTAAAGCATACCTAAGGCCTTAAAAATTTGATGTACTGCACTAACAAAAGGAAAATGTGGAACACTTTTTTTTTTTTAGAGTAACAGTCCTTTTTATAGACCCTTGAACTTGGCAAATAGGACAATGCACACAGCCTGAAACAAACAATGGTTTCTCCTTCACCACAGAGGATGTGTTAAATTGGACATTAGGCCCTGATATTACAGGTACTACCCTAAGGAAAGTAACATTTTTATTCATTCATGTGCATCCAACAGAACAACAGAATACGAGCCTGGAGAGCCAGCTGACAACGTCGATTGTCCTCCATGTGTTTTTTTCTCCAGTCACTAAAACAATCAAGTGAAGGTGGAGTCCTAATGGAAGAGTTACTTTATTCATAATAAGGTAAAGTATTATGAATGCACACAACACCGGCCCAGTGAGATTCAATGAACAGAGACTGCTTTATTACAATTGCAGACAGAAATGTGAAATGCCACCAAACATCTACAATACCACAGGAATAATATCAAGTTTATTAATGCACAAGCGCCCCCTGTTCAAAGTCTTTAAATGTTTTAAACTCGCACAGATCCCACCACCATCAGAACCATTCAATCAAAGGCAGCTGCTGTGGAAGCATCAGACTGTTGTGACTGTATGCAGCTGATCTGCTGGTATTGTTAGTTAGATAGTCTATATGATTCTGTAGTTGACTGGTTCAAATCTACAGTATTACAGCAGGTCAGGAGGGTAAAATCACAGTGTTGTTCCACGCAACGGTGTTGTTTCACTCATTGGTGTTGCACTCGGACACTCAGCAAAATACAGAGAGGGAACCACAAAGTGACACGCCTTAACCAAAATAGTGCTCAGCCTGTAACACACAAAAGAGTTTTTGAACATTCAGGCCTAAGTTAACTACTTAAGCCTGTAATGCAGTTATATTTGAAGTAAACAAGTATATTAATAAATATGCAAGGTGAAACATAATTTGTCCCTAACCTAAAATGCACAACTACTTCATATTTCATTACATTTTATGAGTATTAATGACTTTAAATAATTTGCTAAATTATAAGAGTTAGAGTATTGCACAAAGGTCATGGGTTCGAAACCCAGGGAAAGCAAGAACTGATAAAATGTATAAATGTAAATGTAAAATATGAATGTGAAAATATGAATTGCATTGTTTTTGATGCAATCGTGTGCAGGCACTTTTTGCATATATGAAGTTATAAACAGTCATAAATTGATTGTTTTCAACTTACGTTACAAGTGGAAGAGTGATGTTGTTTTTGGGTCTAGGTTTACTGTGAAGAAAGGAAACATCACGTTATGAATGAAACCATTTTCACTTTTTCAGTTTTATAAGTGTAAGTCATCATAGTTGTGTAAACTTATAATGTTGAATGGACACTACACCAAATTTTGTACGTTTCAGTTGGCTTCAGTAGCAAAATAAAAATCCATGATAGCGTTACTATGACTTTAAAAAAGAGGGGAAAAAATATCCAAGGATTGATTATACTGGTAAGAAGAGAGAAAGACTTCAAATTTGCCGTCACCCCTTGCATTAGAAACACTAGTTTTCTGTAATTTCATGCCAGGGTAATAAAACCCAAAGTATAGTGTTATAAATGTACATTAAACTTAAAAAAAAAATGAAAATATAAAAAGCCAGTAACTATGAAATTACATCTAACGTTAGATCATTCAGTATGCAATGCAGTGGCCATAGTCTGTGTACTTACATGCTGCTAATAATGATATTCAGGCAGGCAATGTCATCTGTGACGTCATCGTCAGTAAAAGCTTTTGAGAAATAAGAAAACAAGCAAAACCTATTCAGTTGAAAGCAATAGGAATATGGTGAGAAATTCAGAAATTCAGTGTTATGATTATTGTGGCCTTTTTTTCTTCTTCTCAAACTCACCAGTGCAGCTCGTGTTGCAGACATTGAGAGATGGGTTCATGCCGGAATCACAGGCCAGCTGATCACTGAGCTGAAACACACCGTACAGGTGCCTGACGGGACGCTGCGTTGTGTTCGGTTTTATGGAGTGGCTATTTAAGGGCTCTTTAGGTTTGGCGGGGATGTCTTTGAAGCTGGTGTTGAAGCCTGTAGCGCCGGCCAAGCAGACAACTGCCTCAGAACCAAAGGAAAAAGTGTGTGAGGGTGATCGGCCTTTCATCTGCACGTCATGTGACATAAACATGGCTATATGGTGAGCGAAGGGCATCTGTTACTCATGTCTAGCGTTGAGATCGTTCACGGTCATTTTGTCTCCCATGGCCCGAATCACCTGAATCTGAGCCGCCTCCAGCTGCTCCTTCAGCTCACATTTACTGATAATCCGTCCCTCAGTCACACTCGACACCAGAAAACCCAGAGCAAACGCCGCCAACATCTTCACTGGGTTTACACTCTTCATTTCTGATATCTGGAGAGTGAAAGCAGGGATAAATGGGAAACTTCGTTTTAGTCAGTTACATAGCTTTGGTTGCAGAGGCATAATGCAGAAAATCTATTTAAAAAGTCCTATTTTATTCTAATTATGCAAGCAAACGAATAAACATTGTTATATTTTTCATTTTTAAAAGCATTTTATTTAGAAAATATGTATTAAATTGTATCAAAAGTGACAGTAAAGATTTCTATTTCAAGGAAATACTTTTATTTTGCGCTTTGTATTCATCAATAAAAAGTTGGTTTACACAAAAATATGAAGCAGCACAACTGTTTTCAGCTTTGATAAACAAATGTTTCTTGAGCAGCAAATCAGCATATTAGAATGATTTCTGAAGATCATGTGACACTGAAGACTGGAGTAATGATGCTGAAAATTCAGCTTTGATCACAGGAATAAATTACATTTTTTAACATATTCACATAGAAAACCTTTACTTTAAACTGTAATAATATTTCACAATATTGAAGTTTTTACTGTATTTTTAATCAAATAAATGCAGCCTTGGTGAGCAAAAATGACTTCTTTCAAAAAATCTTACAGACCCCAAAAGTTTAGATTTGTTGCATGTTCAGAGTGACCAGCAAGGCATATTCAACCATTTTGAACACATAACTTGCATTAAATCAGCTGGAAGAACCATATTATTAAGGAACAGAAAAGAGTCTTACTAGACGTTTTTGTTGTTGGAGATACAGATGAATGAGAGTCTTCAAATGTTCCTCAGTCTTCAGTACTGTGACTCGTCAGACTTATATATGTTAGAGTCGCCTCCACCTGCAGCTGCACCTTTGCTTTTGGTTCCTCCTACAATTAATTCTGAGATAATTTTTTTTGCTGAATTCGTGTCAGAGGAGGATGGGCTCTCCCTGCTGAATTTTAGTTCCTCGTCTTCATCCCCCCAAACCAAACATCTTGGGCACGCTGGGCAAATCCTTATTCAAACATTTTAAAAATGTTTTAAAAAACCAGCCCATGTTTGCTGTAATGTGCCATTCAGGTCATTTTAGCTGTGTTTTTGAAATAATTTCCAGCTGTGAGTGATTCTGAAGCTGATGTGGCATGTCTGCAGCAGATAATAGAGGTCAGAAATCACTCTTTAAAGCTTTAAATCCTCGCTGTTTTGTTTTCAGGTGGATCTGTTGACAGGGTGAAAATGTCAATTCCTTGTAAAGACTAAATGCTTCTGTGCAAAAGTGCTTTTTGGGCAAGGCGCTGACATTTAAATAGCAGTTTCTAGAAACTCGTAATGGTTTTAGTCAAGAAAATTAGTTCAGACAACCTGATTTAAGGATCATTTAGTAATTATGAATTATCCAAATAAGACAATCCAAATCAGACTTGATCTTTTGCATTGTCACACTAGATGATTTGCAGCTTACATTAGTGTGTCAAAGTTTCATGCAACTTGCAAGCTTATGTAGGAACGATGGTGTTTTACTGGGAACGATTCAAATGTAAGTTGTAAGTGTTATTTGCATGCTTTTCACAATACATGCTGATCCAAAGCGGCACTGCAGAATATAATGTCTAAAAAGACTTGGTTTGGGTGGATGATGAAGAAACCTTGGAAGGAACCAAAACTAGCCTGGGAGAGACCATTTTTCAGGTTAGAAACATATATTAATCTCAGCATTAATTATGGGATGATCCAAAAGCACAGGTGCAGCTGCAGGTGGAGGCGACTCAAACATATATAAGTCTGACGGGTCACAGTACAGAAGACAGTGAAGACTGAGGAACATTTGAAGACTCTCATTCATCTGTATCTCCAACAACAAATCAACGTGTAGTAAGATAAATATTAATATTTATTAAAAATAAAATATTTATATTTATTAAAATATATAATTACCATATGATAATTATTTAATATATTTTTAATAAAATATGTGCAGTTTTACATAAACTATTCTGTCCATTCTCTCTTTAAAAAAATATTGCAAATTGTAAATAATTTATTTACAGTATTTGATCATTAGTTTGGTAGTTTGTATGCATGATATAAAATGATAACATTTTTTATTTGCTCATTATATTTTCTGTTTCCACACCATATCAGTATATCAACAACCAATAAAGTTATATTTTTTCCATCATAATTATGTTCAAAAGTATTGCATGGGGAAAGTATGCTTCTAAAATACATAGAATACAGATTGCTACAGCTGGCTAAACTAAAACTTAGAATAACTAGTTCAGTTCACTAGTTCAACACTTTTTATATTATATTATTTGTTTTAGTACTTGTTTATAAGGCATATATATATATATATATATATATATATATATATGAAAATTTGTGGCATCTTGTGGCTTTTTAATTTTAATATAATAAGGAAAAGATAGAAAACTTAGAGCTGTTTTTTTATTTAGTTTTTATGATAAAGTGACAGTATTTAAAAGCCCCCAGAAGCAGCACAATCATATTGGTTTATACACAGTGATATATGCTTAGACAGAAGTTTAAACATTCACAGTATTACAGTAATAAACTAAAGTGTCTTAATGCACAAACTCCCTCAATTCAGAGTCTTGTTTAAACTCCCGCCACCATCATAATGACCTCATTACCATTCAATCAAAGACAGTTGCCATGGAAAGCATCCGACTGGCGTGTGAGTGTAAGTAATGCAGCAGGATGAAGCTAGAGTGAGTCTGCTCTGTGTGTATTAAACACAGTCAGCAAAGTAGTTCGGGGAAACGACAGAGTGACACTCCTTCACCATCATCATCTCCACACTGTAACAACACAGAGGACAGTCACACTGTGAACCTTCAGGCCTGATTGTCACGTAGATTATATATATATATTTTTATTTTTCAATATATATTTATGATTTTGTAAAACTTACATCTTCTTTACAGCGGTGGGGATCTCTTTGGGTTTAGCTTTCCTGTAAAGAAATAAGACAGGTGTAGTACTTTTGTATGTAATGTTTCATTTTTCAAACATTCTAATTAAAGCGTAAACACGTTTGTGTTATCATGCCAAACTAACATCAAGAAAATCATATCCTCCTTTGAATTTATGTATTAAAATAGCATTAACTAAACTAAAATAAGCATGAGTTTGCTGTGTACTCACGTGATGTTCATCAGGGTCTTCAGGCAGGCGATGTCATCAGTGATGTCATCGTCTGTCAAAGCTTGTGTGCAATGGAGAAAAAGAGTTCAGAGTGCTTTTCTTTGTTTTTAAACATTCACAGTGCTCCCTTGCTCTTTTAATTTTTCAGTGCAGAAATTAAAAACACTCACCAGAGCAGGTCGTGTTGCAGACATTGAGAGATGAGTTCATGCCGGAATCACAGGCCCACTGATCACTGAGCTGAAACACACCGTACAGGTGCCTGACAACTTTGGTGGCTGTGTTTGGCTGCGTCTCGTGGCCGGAGCCCTGGGGTCCTTTAGTGGGAGCATGTGCATGGGGCTTAGGTGGAGCTCCAGCTGGAGCCTGAGGTGGAAGCCGAGATGATGGAGCCTGAGGGGGACCTCTACGTGATGGAGCTCCAGCTGGAGCTTGAGGTGGAGCTCCAGATGATGGAGCCTTAGGTGGAATTTGGGATGCAGCTTGAGGTGGGGCTTGTGATGGCTTCATCTCCTTATTGTGGACCATGGTGTTTTTGACAAAGCTGGTGTTGAAGGCTGAGCTGCTGGCCTTGCAGACAACTGCCTCAGAAAGGAAGAAAGACATAGATGAGGGTCATTTCTGCACATAACCTGACATGAAACAGTGCAATTTGACTTCCTGAAGACGGAGGGAGAAGCTGAAGAACAATAACTCACGTCTAGTGATGAGACTGTTCACGGTTATTGTCTCTTCCATGACGGTGATCTGCTGAAACTGAGCGGCATCCAGCTGGGCCTTCAGCTCACATTTATTCAGGATCCTTCCCTCAGTCACACTGGACACCAGCAGTGCCAGAGCAAAAGCTGCCAACATCTTCACTGGGTTTACGCTCTTCATCTCTCTCTGTTTGGAAATCTGGAAATTAATTGTGTTCAGTTAATCCAGAGAACTCTGATTGCATCTTCAAGCAGAGCTAATAACAGATTACAAGTATTCAATAATTGCATATTCATGAATTAATAGCTTTGATTGGGGGAAATAAAAATATCTTTAGTATTTTAGTTCTGATCCTGCACAAAAAAAAATCTTTATTTATATAGATTTTTTTTAATTAAAACTTAAGTATAAACTAGTTTGAGCCAGTATATATATA